GCTTCAGCCTCGTAGAGGCTGTACGATGCTTTGCACAGCTTCAGCCTGGTCACCTAATGTAAGCCACGTACTCTGAGGCTTGTGGCAACACAGGTCAGAGTCACCCTGGAATGAACCTTACCCACTAGCTTGGAACCTTCCTGGACATGGAACGGGAACGTAAAGGTGGATAGTCTCTGTGCAGATCCTCTGGGATAGGAATACACCTTACAAAACCCACGACCATTCCCTGCGGGCCATCTTAGCAGACAAGCCGTTGAAGGCTCATCTGCATTAGAAAGTGTTGTGTTTCAACAGGACTGGAAACACTTGAGTTAGATGTGATGATAGTGGTTAGCATAGGCTAGGGCAAGCCACGCTAGAGCACTCACCTAAGATGTGGGAGACCAGAGTTCAAGTCACTGCTCTAAAGACTACCACAGGAGGAACAATGTCAGCAAGAGAAAATGTCCCCTAGCTCAGGGCACTCTGGGTTCATCTACACAGCAACGTTATTTCGGAATAACATCTGTTATTCCCAAATAAATTTGCGAGCATCTAAACAGCAGTTCCATTATTTCAAAATAATATTGAAATAACAGACTGCTTATTCTGGATTCTGTAAACCTCATTCCACGAGGAATAATTCTTCTTCTGAAACAGCTATTTCAGAATAGCTGTAGTATCGATGCTCCACTGCAGCTATTTCGAAATATTTCCTCCCCCAGGCCATTCAGAGTAATTACTCCCCAGTGCTTCCTGGGGCTTTAAATTAAGGTAGTGCATTCACATCAGGGAGCCTGCCTTGGACTAATTTTGAGGCTTCCCTGTAGTGTAGATGTGCTATTTAAAATGAACTATTTGGAGTATTTCTTCTGGAATAGCTTACAGTATTCTGAAATAAGTGTGCAGTGTAGACTAGCCTCTGTGATACCCAAGTTAAAATCTCTTTTCCACATCAGGCATAGAGGGGAATTGAACCTGAGTCCTCCCCAACCCAGGTGAGTACTAACAAGTCTGCTAAAAGTTATAAGGAGGGCACTCCCACTGCCACCTTCTGCTCCTGCAATCTAAAGCATATTTTGTGACTTTATCCCTTTAAAAATATCTGAAACAAAACATAATTACATGGATTTTTTTACTCAACATTTTTTGAACATTCTGGGTTTGGGTTGACTCAAATGCAGTTCTTTTTATTTTTCAAAACTGCCAGGAATCAGTTATTCATCCACTGCTAATTATAACTCTGGATATTCCTGACAGCTATATAAATGTCCAGCCCCTTTTTTAATCTTGTCACGTTCTTGGCCTGAGTGACTTCTGTTTCACAAAGTATACAAAGAATTTCATTTTATCTTTTATGAACATCCCACATTTTAATTTCACTCAATGTCCCTTTGTTCTTGTGTTATAAAATAGGGAGAAGTTCTTTATATACCTTCTCAGTGCTATTCATTATTTTATATTCTGTTAGCATTTTCGCTCTTGCCTCCTTTCTATGGAAAATAATCCCATGTTTTTCAGTTTCTCATCATGTGAGTTTTTCTAGGCCCTTGATCATTCTTGTTGGTCCTCGTTTCTAATTCTGCAATATCCTTCATGAGAGGAGATGACAGCACTGCATACAGTATTTAGATGAAACTGTACCATTGATTTATTCAAAAGCTGCACATCCCGTCATGAATTATTGATTACCTATGGGAACATTTAAGACTATCCATGTTTTGAAGGACTTGTCTGGTTATGCTGGCAATGTCTTTGATTTTTAGACCTGAAATACTCTTTAAATAAACTCTAGTTTTACTTTTATCCATTTCTGTTGTGCTTCGCTGTCCACAATACAGGCTAAATTTAGTTTCCACAGAACTTTTCTTTATTCATATCATATTATTTATAAATGCATTAAAGGCCCTTCCCCTCATTTCCCCACAATCTTCACTTGAGCATAAACAGTTCATTAAACTCTAACAATAAAAACGTTCAGTACAAATGAACAAATACAGAATCTCTCTCCCCAGTCTACAATGCTTTCTGTTCGCAAAAATCACGGAGTAACTATAGACATTTGGCCAAGGCAACATTTTTAAGTGCAAATCACCACTTGCTTCACATTAATAATTCTGCATAAAGCATAGGCAATATTTAGTAGCAATTTCATTAAGAACCAAAGTTAAAACAAGTGACACAGTAAGATAAAGACAGATAAACTTTCAAATAGATTCCCTTTATAATAAATAAAAAGTGCTGGTCTTAACATAGTGCACATAAAGCATATTGGCCCAGTAAGCTAGCCTCCTGCAGCCCATCCTTTTTTTCTGACTTGCATGCTGTCATTGTACGTACATGAAAGATGCAAACAACACAAAGATTCCATTGAGAGTCTAGGTAGACAACTGGCAGCAGTTGGGTATATGTGTTCCCAAGGTTTTTGCCTATTTGTACTTTTTTGGGGGCAGATGCTCAGCAGAAGTTGAGGATCTGGCCACATTCTTAGTTCTGTTTCCCTTTATACCTTGTGGCCAACTCATATTTTGCTTCGTTTTTATTTTTTGTGGGGGTTTGGTGCTTTGATTTGTCTTCATTTAGGCAATTTTGTGCAAATGGGGAGGGGTTCATAGAAAGACTTTGTGAGGAATAAAATTATACAATAAGATCCTCAATAACTTTTCCCAAATTGTTCTACTGTCGTTTGGCAGCTATATCTTGCAGATCTTTAGGGTTCCTCTAAGGCACAAAGCCTTCCATGTTGAGTCCCTCTCTCTGAACTAACTCCATGGGGCACCTGGAGAAGCTCCAGATACAACTCCTCTTTTCTGGCCTTGAGTACTGCTATTTTGCTCCCCTCAAGTCTATTCAAAATATTGCTGCTAAAATAATCACTGTGCTTGTCAGGAACCTCATCAACTTCCCTTTTGAGTTTTTGTGCTGGTTTCCCCCCAACCTCTCGTCTACCTGTAAGGCTTTTCCCATCCTGCCTAATTTTAACCTCTGCTCCCCACCCGTGTGCAGAATGTCTCCGCTTGATGTGGGTCTGAGCATGTTGTTGCAGGGACTACTCCCCCACATCCTTATGCAGGAAGAGGGGATCTACAGGCAGTCTTGTTCCTCTGTGGGACAAGCCGTGGTCAATTTCCATGGAAATCTTTAGTAAAGGGCGAAAGATTTATATGATTTGAAAAGAAACCAATTTGGTGTCTGCCAGCAAGTAGTCAGATGTTACAAAGGGCTTAATCCAGAGGTGGGCAGTAAAAAAGCAGCAGCCCACCAGGATTAGTCCCTGGCGGGTCACTGCTCTGTTTACCTGTGGTGGTGCAGCTATCAAATGATTGCAGCTGTTTGTGGACCAAGACACCACTCTCATTGGCTGTGAGCAGCAATCTGTGGCCAACAAGAGCTCCGATCACCTGATACTTGCAGAGGCAGAGGTAAACATTGGGGGGCCCACCAGGGTCTAACCCTGACAGATCTGGCCTGTGGGCTGGTATTTGCTCACCCAGTGTTCCCTTTAAGATTGCCACAGCACAGCTTCACAGGTGACTAATCAGCCCCACCCAGTCAGCCAGCTCCTGAGCCTCTGACTGGGACCACCCTGCCCACCCCTGGCTTAATCAGTTAGCAGGTTCCGCATGTTGTGCCTGAACTTGCTGAGGTACCACAACCAAGTCTCAAAGTGGAACACTCACTGGCAGTAGCTTGTAGTGGAGAGCCTCCCAGTAGCTAAGCCAGCTCAGTGTCATGTTAGGTTCCTTTCATTGTATTTTATATCTCTAACATCTAGTACAAGTAAACATTAAAAGAAGAGCTAATTTCCACTGTTAGTTGCACTAGCGCAACTACACAGAAGGCCAGAGAGGTATAATCAAGGGCAGTACTTTGCCTATGGCTTAACAGAAGTGCTTCTTTAGTCCATAACTCAGACAGGATAAAAGTGCCGAATAAAACTGTGTGTCACTTGGTACCCATGTAGTCAATCTCTAACCTAGAATACATTCTTATGAGGCAGCCACAGCTGCAAACCACACATTTTCCTAGAGATTGCCTCAAACAATAGCTAGGTAGATTGATTTAACTGGCCTTACTTCTCCCTTTCAAAATCAAAGATTTGTGAGGAAAATGTTTCAATGTTAAAAACAGTGGGGAAAAAAGCTACCTGAATCAATCCAGGTATCAAGGCGTTGTCTTGGCCAGGAAAATGTTTGTGTGGGAGATTGGAGCACAGGAAAAACAGAACTTTACATGTTCTAGGAGTACCTGCTAGAGTGGAGAGTGAAAAATTTTAATCACTTTCAAGACTAGCTACAACTAAACCTGATCCCTTTGATTCTCAGTGCCAACTGAGCACTCTGAAACCCAAGTAATATAAATTGGAGCATATCTATTATCCGCAATATTGGTTGTAATCCATCTCTTAGAACAAACTGTGTGATGAGATATGGGTCTCCCCAAACCACTGAGGACAGCTTCTCTGTGGCATCAAGCAATGAACTAAAGTTCTGTTCCAAGATTACAAAAAAGATTTGATTTTTTCAAAGGGGTTTGGATTATGCATGAAAACCACTAGTGAACAATTTAATTTATTCAACAAGCGTTGTCTACAAGGGTCTGGCTACACTTAAAGCTCTGCTGGGGTGCAGGTGCACTGCATCAGTGAAGACACTACCTATGGCAATGGCAGGCTTCTCCCATCAGTGTAGGAACTCCACCTCCCCAAGAAGCAGTAGCTATGTCAACAGGGGATTCTGTTAGCCTAGCGCTTTATACGCCTGGGGATTTTTGCATACCCTTTAGCAACATAGTTATACTGACCTAATTCGTAGTATAGACCTGGCCTGAGAGGAAAGGTCTCTGAGGGCATTTAAGTTCAAGTACACTTCTACTGTGCTACAAAGCAAACAGAGGCAAAATGGCTACGCTAAAACACAGGGAAATGTGATCTTGAAGGGAGGAGTTTAATCACATAGCGTTTTTTTTTAAACAAAACAAAAAAAAAGGTCAGCTTTAAACTGGAAGCAAACGTCACATAGCGTTTTTTTTTTTAAACAAAAACAAAAAGGTCAGCTTTAAACTGGAAGCAAACCAGATTGGGATTATGCCTGTCTTTGTGCTCAAATAGTGTTACTGACAAATATTTGCAGAAACAAGTACATTCTGTAAATTTAGACTGCTCTGGGTTTGCTATTAAAAATCCATCTCCGTTCAAATCACTACGGCTTTTGCCGGAAGAGGCTATGCAAACAAAGCGCTGATTAGCATTTTGTCTCACTTCATTTGCATAATCTATTCTGAGCCATATTTGTGCAAGGGGTTTTTGCGCAAAAACAAGCAGTGTGGTCGTGGCCATTTTGGGCAAAAACCCCTTTTTGGGCAAGATCCGTATGCCTCCTCCATTTGCATAGCCTCTTCCGGCAAAAGCCTTAGTGCAGATGAAGTCTAAAGGTATAATAAATACTGTGACTAGACAAGGATAATCTGCGGATCCTTTGTTTTCTAGCTATTCGTTTTTTCTGAATTAAAAAAAGGAGAGAGCTTTTTGTACAAAGCTTCTAGATCATTTGGAAGCTCTGACATTTTGGGTGGGAGAACTTTCCTTTTTCTGGCCTTCATCTACTCATTTTCTTTACCAAAACTTGGTTCATGCAGAAATCATGGGACTTGAGTCTGATCTCTCACCAATTTAAATCAGGAGTAACTGCACTGAAGTCAATTCAGTTCACTGGTATAAATTGTTGTGTGCAAAGAGAATCCGACTCTTGGGTTCTAGGTTTGTAATAGAATTAAAACCATGAAAGGTTTGAATTCCATTTGGTTTCAGCAACCAGTGAGTGCCAAACAGCAGTATGGTTTTTTTTTTATTTGGAACCTCTGACAGGGTACGGTCTAGAATGCAAGTGAAGATGTGATTATAGCACACACAGGTATGCTGCACTAGCTTTAATCTAGCTGCCCCTGCTTTCTCTCCTTCCGCTGCTCATGGATGTGATTTGTAAAGATGGACTTAAAAATCTTTTTCCTTTACAAATCTGATCATCTTGGTAAGGTAATCTTGTAATCTCACAAGGCTCATAACGGTTTTGCAAATTCATAGCATTAAACAAAGAAAGAGAGGTGTCGCTCTTGACAACGAGGCACTGCATTTAACCAATCCGTTCCCACTCAAATGCAGAATGATCCATAGAATGTTTTGCACAAAAGAAATGAAATTATACTGAGCTTGAAAAAGGAACCACTTGCTTGCCTGCCACATATACTTCACTAATATTCCGATCATCACCTGAAAAAACAAAGCCAAAAGATTTTATTGCAGAAATCTATATGTCTTATGGCAATTAGCATAAGTGACACAATACTCAATATCAGATCTGGAACTGATCACTTCCACAGCCTGTGGAAAACACACCCTCTTAGATTGGCAAAAGGTTCATATGGCAAGCGCCTTCTATTCACAAGAATTCCCAACCTTCCCATAAATCTTACAAGAAAGAAATTGGCAATGCTAGTCCTGTAGAACTAAAGGCTGGTCTACACTCAGTTTTTCCACTGACCGAACAATTTGGCTATTCAAATAATTTCATTAAATTGATGCCAGAAGTAAGCGTAGGCTTGCCCTTAGTCCAGCCAATCCCATGGAAAGCATGTGCATGTTCTCATGAGAAGTGACTGTTCTGAATGAAGGCATGTTAGTGACCAACTCGTGAACGGGTGTTAGGTTTTATATAGACTGGGCAAGTGCTTTATGTTTTAAAAAAGTGTTAGCATTAATACCTTGTTAAATACCACTGAGCTCAAATGTAGACACAAATAGTCATGGTTAAAAATCTGCTAGTTGGTTGGATTAATCTTAATCAAGCAGAAAACAGGATATTGTATAAAACATTTTAACCATATAAACATAACACAAATGCTGTACAGTACTTCTTGATTCTTATTTAAACATTTGTTTTAAAAACAACAAGGAAAAGCAGTCCAGCTCTATGTTTGAAGATTATCTAGATAAGTATGAGATAAGAAATTTTCCATATAATGAAAATTGAGACTTACCTAGAGTTTGAAGATTATCTAGATAAGTATATGAGAAGAAATTTTCCATATAATGAAAATTGAGACTTACCTAGATACAGGAACTTCTGGATAATATCCTGAAAATATGGAAAAAGAACACACTTCAGAAAGCCATTCCCGCCTTCCCAAAATACAACTGTATGAAACTAGAAGAAGACTGCAAAAACAAATTCATACAACACATGCTTTTAACTGAAAAAATAAAATTTGTCTATTTGCTAATAACTGTGTTAGTCAAGAAAGAGCCAATACCAGAGAGAAGAGCCAATATAAGAGAAGAGCCAATATCAGAAAAATGTGGCACTGTAAGTTAGTGAATACTTCACAGGTACATTGGTCAAGTCATAATATTTCCCTCTCCCCACTTGTTTGTCTTCCCACTGATCATCTAATAACCTTGTTTAATTCTGTTGAATAAAATCTTTGTTCTTTTCTCTTTACTGAATAAACCCAGCTAAAAGATTGCTAGCATTAAAATATAAGTTTTATGTCACTGGGATCAACAGGTTCAAATTCATGTCACTAGATTTCAGTGGAACAGACCTACAGATTAATGTGGCTTATTGTTTTTACCAGAGGTAATGGGACCATGCGAGCATTCAGGAGCAACTGGTCATTAAGAACTCATTGTGCTGAGCATCACCAGTATTGTCAATGAATTGTGTGGCTGATACACTGTAAGGTGCAGTACCCTAACTGTCACTTAAGTACTCCCAGAAGGACTGGTGTTGCTTCAGCCCCTAAAGACTACAGAACCCCCATCTACTTCTCAGATCTATAGCTTGTTGTTTACAGAAGCTTTCTGGAGCATTTCAATAACTCAATGCTTTGATTACCTCAGAAGTGTCTGCAGCAAATAAGTCAAAAGGACTGTCTGAAGCCTTGGGGTTGATCAGCAGTGCATCAAATTCTTTTCCAACTTCAAAGTTTCCAATCACATCATCTAATCCTAGGACTGTGAAACAAATGTAGTTAATAAATGAGCCTCTGGCCTTCTGCACATTCCACTGTGTACAAGCATCTGGCAACTTGTTTGAGAGCTATGTCCAGATGGAAACCTGCAGGTGTTTAGATTGCTATCAGAAAAGCAGGCCTTTAAAAAGTGGAATAACATAACCTCTGAATTCTTAGGAGACTTTTTTTCATAAAAATGTGTTGCTTGTTATTAGAGAGAAATGATAGGCAAATAAGGCAAGTGAGAATGAAATTTATATCACCTTCTTAAATTTAATCAAATGTCTTTTTGTATTGCCTTTTTAATATTATCCTAAGTGTAGGTTCCACTGTGTCGCAAAGTGATTGGTTGTTAATTTTAAACACCAAGAGTAAGTGATCTCTTATATTTCCAAAAGTCTCTTCATCCTGAAGAATCCTAATGCACTTTAAAACTAGATACTTACACCAAAATGCATCCACTTATGGGGATAACATGGGAATAATAATTGCCTGCTCTGCAATTATTATTCATTAGTTCATTAATGTCTGTAAAGCCCTTGAAGGCTGAACTTTTCTGACAGGTTATATAGACTAGAAAGTATTTATTAAAACTATAATTTAGGTGTATATATTATTATTCTGGGAGGTATAACAACCAATAAGCACTCAGAATATTACAATTAGCAAAAATTTTAGGCCAGGACAAAGGAGCACACCTCCTACTTTTTCATTTAAAAATGTCACGGGATGTCTAATGTCCACACAGAGAAACTGTTTCACTTCATTTTATGTAACATGAACCCACTCAAGCATCATAGATGCAAATGTTTGTTTTCAAAAATGGAATGACTCTTGCAAGATCGTGGGCTTAAACCACAAATAAAAATTGATCTGTATAGTCAGGCTAGCTCGGCAAACCCTCCTCCCCCAAAAACTGTCTGAAAGGCTTGCACAACCTCACACTTCAGAAGGTTCACCCAAGCTCGATTTTTTTTTTTTTCTTCAAGTTTTCATCTCCCAAATCCTCACAAAGTCAGATCATGAACTGTGAGGGAGGAGTGCCATTAAATGGCAGCTGAAAGTGCTGAGTACCTCACAAAAGGGCGTGGAGCTCTTAAATCTCTAGCTTGAAGAGTGTAGAGCTCAACTGACCCTGCCAAGATTTGAACATGTGGTGTGAGTAGTGTAGCTAATGCAACCCCTGAACTCAAACACAGCGTGGCCTCAGTCCTGAACCTAGATCTGCATGGACAATGCCTGCATACAGCCCCACTGCCTCGCTACGTCTAGACTGGCATGATTTTCCTCAAATCCTTTTAATGGAAAAGTTTTTCCGTTAAAAGCATTTACGGAAAAAAGCATCTAGATTGGCACGGACGCTTTTGCGCAAAAGCACTTTTTGCGGAAAAGCGTCTGTGCCAATCTAGACGCGGTTTTGCGCAAGAAAGCCCCGATAGCCATTTTCGCCATCGGGGCTTTTTTGTGCAAAACAGTCCTGAGCTGTCTACACTGGCCCTCTTGCGCAAATGTATTTGCAAAAGAGGGCTTTTTCCCCGAACGGGAGCATCATAGTATTTGCGGAAGAACACTGACAATCTTACATCAGATCGTCAGTGTTCTTGCGCAAATTCAAGCGGCTAGTGTAGACAGCTGGCAAGTTTTTCCACAAAAGCAGCCGCTTTTGCGGAAAAACTTGCCAGTCTAGAGCTATTTGCAGGATTGGAGTCTAAGCCTTCTCTAGATAAATCATGGACAAATTCCAGTCGTTTAGTTATTACTTTTTGCCTTTACTTTATAGTGCCAATCAGATAAAGTATTCTTCACTAGAGGCTAATTCAAAGTGTGATGAAGCCAATGAAAAGACTCAGCTTGACTTTAATGGGCATTGGCTTAAGCCCCGTAGTTTCAATGAAAGGTGTCTAGATAGATTGTAATTAAGGTAGGCATGTGTGCAGACTGCTTTGAGATCTCTGGATGAAAATGCTCTTTACAGAGTAATTGGCTGTCAAATAACACAACGAAAATTTTGTTGGGAGGTTATAGAGTCTGCTACCAGTTTATATTTTTCTGGTTCTCACATTCTGCTCATTCACTGAGTTGGGTGAATATCACAAGAAGGTGCCAGATATGAATCTTTGCTGAAAAGAAGCTCCAGAGTCATTAAAGCTGTACGCTGGCTACAGAACTGTTCTTTTCACTTGGATCGCAGGGCAGGAAGTGAAGGCCAAATAGAGGGCAGTGAAGTTTGTTTTATTTGTCACCAGGCTCCTTCCCTTCCCTTTTTTTCTTCTTTATTATTTTGAACCTTGTACAGTAATATAAAATGCCAGCCCTTTGGGTCTGATTTGTTCAGAAGTGCTGAGCATCCATGATACCTGCTGAAGTTACTAGGATTTGCTCGGTATCTCTAAAAATCAGGGCTTTTGTCATTTCAGTGGCCTTTGAAATGATCCCGGATACTTTTATGTTTGGATGAATAATATGTAAAGTGAAATAAACTTTACAAACACCCCCAAATCTTAGAAGTCCCTGGGCATTGGAACTGCATCAGGTGTAATTACGGAGACAGAATTTACTCTTGTCTTTTTAATAGTTAACAGATGGTCATGGAATTTCAGTGTCTGAAGGAATTTGAGAGCCACTGGCATTTCACAGCATTAGATAGCTGCTTTTTAAAAATATCAGAAATGATAAAACATCAACTTTGCAGAACATGGTTTTGGATGTAATTAAACACACCTAGACAGCTACTAGACACCTGCAGCTGGCTTTTGCCAGCCAATTCATCTCATGAGACTTATGCTGCAAGATCATTTTAAGTGCACTATAGTTGTCCATGTTCAAGTTGCAGGCCAGGCTTTAGGGTGGATCTCAGAGCTCCAGCTGCACCAGAAGCTCAGAGGTCTATGCTGAAATGAAACAGCCCTGAGCCCTGACATCGGCCAGCTGTGAGTTTTTCTCTGCAGTGCTGACACAATCCTAGTTCACCTGAAAGGGTATAGAGAGATTTTTCTCTAGTGTGCCTTGTGCAGTTTCTAATCTAAACACAAGAGGGTGTTAAAAGATCAGTAGTCACAGCAGGCACACCTAATAAGAGACAGTAGCTTGTCAGCAAAAAGAAATCGAAATACTCTGGAGTTTCCCAAATTACAGGTGTTTGAAAGATAGTGGGAGGTTGTGTAAATAATTTAGAAATGAGAAAAAGATACATCAATATGTAACCATGAGCCCTATAATTATGACCCTACCAAATTCACAATCATGAAAAACACGTCTTCCCCCATGAAAACTGATCTTTTGTGAGCTTCTCTCCTATTCTGGATAGATAGCTTGAGGGGAAAGCAAGCATTTCTCAGATTGGGGGTCCTGACTCAAAAGGGAGTTGCGGGGGGTCACAAGATTATTTTGGGGGCAGAGGTATTTGCAGTGTTGCCACTCTCACTTCTGCATTGCTGCCTTCAGAGATGAGTGGTCGGAGAGCGGCAGCTGCTAGAAGAGAGCCAACACTGCAAAAAGCAGCGCAGAAATATAGATAGCAATGTCATACAATGCCATCCTTCCTTCGGAGCTGCTGCTCTCCAACTGCCCAGCGCTAGGCAGCACCACCACCAGCAGCAGCAGAGCAGAAGTAAGGGTAGCAGTACTGTAACTCTCCATACAATGACCTTGCGTAACAGCCCCCTTCCCATACAATGACCCCTCCTGTTTGGGACAGGACTCCTACAATTATGCACTTTCCCTTAGTTTCAATGATGGGTTTCTGGATAAACTAAGGCTGGGTCTAGACTACATCCTTTTTCTCGAATAGTAAATTTCACTTCGAAATTGCAAATGAAGCCGGGATTTAAATTTCCCTTGTTTCATTAGCATAATGGTAGCTGCAGTTTTTCAAAACCTCAAAAAATGAAGTTTACAGGATCTTTCAAAAAAGTGTTTTATTTTCGAAAGATCCCCATCAAAACTGCCGTTTTTCTATCGAAATTGTTTCATTTGCATTTCAGAAAAAAACGCAGCTGCTATTATGCAAATGAAGTACGGGAAATTTAAGTCCCGGCTTCATTTGCAATTTCGAAGTGTCATATTTACATTCCTTTTTCGAGAAAAGGGATGTAGTCTAGACACAGACTAATTAAGATGGACATGTGTGCAGACTGCTTTGGGATCTCTATGTGAGACTACACCACCATGACATTTCAGATTTAAAAAGCTGAAATAATGAAATTTACTATTTTAAAAATCCTATGACCATGAAATTGACTAAACTGTGATGTGAATTTGGGAGGGCCCAACCTATCATGGTATATCTCCTTAAAGACAAAATATTGCTGGAACCTGAGAACCTCAGTTAGTGGCTAAATGTAGACTAGTGCCGGATGTGACAGAGGAGAGTGCCTCTACTGGTTAAGCAGTACTAAATCTGTACTATTTGCTTTCCATTAAACAGCAAAAACTATATTAAAACCTTATTATAGAAAACATGAAGTATAAGTATGCATTCAAAATGTATCATTAACTGGAACTCTGGATGTGCTGGCTATATTGCTACAGGTTAATGTCACTGTCACTGTGTCTCAAAAAACATGTGCCATATGTTGTGTTTACTTTTCTGGAGCTCAGGTTTGGCTGAGAAGTGATTTGACAAGAACTGTTTTGTGAAAAAGATTGTGACAGTTTGTCCCAATAAGAACTCAAAAAGGAGAAAGAGAAAGTATGACTGATGACAAATATAAGACACATGGTTATGATTGTGCAATGTTTTGAAGTGTTGGCTGCTAAGAATACAAAGCATTTTAAGCTACTGCAACAATAAACATCCATCATCTGCCAGTGAAAGAAAAGTCTGAGCATTTTTTTTTAAGTAAAGCATTTAGAAATTAACAAGGTTCAGTTACTCAAACTGGCAATGAAAATATCAATGCCCTTCTGTCAAAATATGATGTCTCCGTGAATCATCTACCAGTACCTAGTCCACCACTGCAGAGAATCTTCTCTTTCTCTGCACAATAGATGTGACTGTAAAAGTTAGAGCCTAAAACAGAGGACAAACTGAAAGCAAGGCAGCTACCAAATAATTCCATGTTGGTGCCACAAGTTTTACAATGGAGGGACCCTAAAATCTGGCTCCATTTTGAGGACAGTATATGGCAAAGTTTTAATCAAAGCATCACATACATGTTTTAAAGAATGGAAAAAAAATTTCTTTACCTTCGCTGCCTCCAAGAGTTGCTAGTCGGAAAGCGTCTTTAAGGGTTAAGCCTGTCTCATTTACTTTATTGAATTTAAGGGTATTAGAGGCAGACATTGATCTCCTGATAGCATCAAGCATGGAAGCTGAATACCCACCAGCAACATCTACAATAGATCAAAATATTAAAACTTTGCTTTTGGGGACAATTTGTGAGTGGAAACTGTATGAGCTTTAATTTAATAATACATAATGGCAGGCAAGATAACTAGGGAAAAGTTCATCATCATGCCCAGTCTTCAGAATCTATTGCAGAGGTGGGCAAAAGGGTCTCCGTGGGCTGGATCCGGACTGCCAAGCCAGTTGATCCAGCCTGTGGAGACCCTGCAGTTCCCCCGCACACCAGGCCAATTAGGGCCTGGGGGTGGGGGAAAGGGCACAAAATTTCCTCCCTCCTGTCAGGAACATGGGGCGCTTCTAAGCGCCACATGCTCCTTGCAGAGCTGGGACAGGGTGGAGGAAACTTTGCGTGCCCCTCTTGCCCCCAAGCCCTGATTGGCCTGTGGGCAGAAGGGGGAGCATGCAAAGTCTCCTCCCACCCCAGGGGCATAGGCACCTAGGAGGAACCTCTGGAGGGGGGCAAAGACTTCATGCGCTCCCCCAACCCCAGACCAATCATGTTCTGTGGATGGGGAAGCAGGGAATATCCTGGCCCTACCCCTTCCAGTGCAGCCCAGGCCACTTCAAAAATTTATCCTGGCCCTGCCCCTTCCAGTGCAGCCCAGGCCACTTCAAAAATTTTTCTAATGTATGAAATCAGCGCTTCTTGCGCAAGAACCCAGGCCCCCAGCAAAAAATTATTGCACACCTCTGGTCTATTGCCTAATTCCCAAAAGACGGTTTTATTATATCTGTGTGAGCATCTGTATAAGGGTAACACAGTTCATATACAGAATAATATGTCTTTCTACAATCTAGAAATAATTCCAGACCCTACTCTTAGTTGTTTTTGGGCTAATGGAACCAAACTATCCTCATTCACTTTCAAAACATTTCTCTAGAGTGAGTTTGTGTTTGTGTCTATGGTTTGTTTTTGTTTTTTGGCTATTTCTAGATCCAAGACAATGGAAAATCAGGCACACTGGTTGGGGGCATGTTAATGTGAATATGTGGCTAGCTATTACAAAGGGTCTAAAATAAATTACTAACCTGTGCCAAGACCAACCTTCACATTGTGCTTCAGAACATTTTGTACGTTTAAAATGCCACTGCACAACCTGGATTGGAAAGAAACAGATCCTCCATGACACACACACACACACACACACACAAAGATTTAAGGCTCATTCCTGCATTCAAGCAGTATGTTGGCAAGTTGCCTCAGGGACAACTAAAACAGTTTCATGCCAAGATCTTTTCCGTATACAAAGCATTCCCCAAAATGTATATAACAGATGATGCCTCCACAATCGAAATAAAAAATGTATGTTCATTAACCTGAATTATAAAATCTTCATAATTAAAAGGATAAAGTAATTTTAAAATAAAAACTCACTATGACACTTCTGTGGTCTCATATTCACTGATTGCCTCCCTTACTGAAAATCAGAGCCTTAATATATTCAAGAAGGAAGATGGCAAAGAAGGCCAAAGATCTAAAGCAGAGATGAAGCAATGTACATTACATATTGGTCAAGTGGAACTTAATGCCATAAACGAATCAGCTGAGCAGGAAGGGAAGGGTCCATAGCAGTTGGAAGGTGGTTGGTGGGGATTAGTCGGTGTCAGACACGGACAGGATTGCTTGGATGATGGTATACTTGGCATGCTACCAGGGACTGTTTCGGGGTCGAGATTGGTGACCACAGCTCTCCATGAAGGGATGATGGTTACATAACACAAGATGGCAGGAGGCAGAAGAGAGTAAGTGGTGGGAGAAGCAACTGAGGAGGCTATGAATTAAGGCAAAGATGGAGGTTAGATTCCCTGCTTGTTTAACTTGCATGCCCTTTCAGCCTTTGGCATGAAAATAATACTAGCAGACTTCTTTAGGACCCAAGTCTAACCTTGCCCAGCCTTTGGCATGAAAATAATACCAGCACAGACTTCTTTAGGACCCAAGTCTAACCTTGCTTACACCAGCATAAGTCAAGAGTCAATAGGAGTAGTTGTGTGCTTTGGAAAATCAGGTCACTTGTTTAGGTACCTAAATAGAGCCTAGCTTTTGGCTTCCATTTTTAATATCTTGGTCTCCTTTTTTGTATTATATATAAAGTGCTGTGTTACCGTAGAAAGTCAAGATGGTTGATTTATAAATATGAAAAATAAACAAAAACTAAATCCATGTTATGATAAAATCTATTTCAGGAGAGCAGTTGTAACAAATCTGGGATTCCTTATTAAGCCAATTAATTGAGATTGTTGGGCTTCAAGGCTTGATTAGTTGGAAAATTATGCAAAGCTCTAATGTAGAGAGCACTGCACAGGAGCAAAATGGAGCTTATCCCAGCGTGACTTCCCTTGGCAAGTCACACCTGTGTAAACCCAAATATAAACAAGCATGGTATTAGAGATGTGCAATAACTAGAATTTCTGTTTTCAGTCCAAATAAGAACGTAATCAGAAAACTGATAAATTTCTTGCAAAATATGTTTGTCAAACATTTTTGTTCAACTGTTGACATTGGTTTTTATTTTGTATATATTTATCTATTTATTTTACAGTGCATTTTGAAACAAGGTTGCTTTGAAGTGAGAAATAAAAACATCCCATTCCAATGAGAACACTGTCAGAATGTCGTTTCAATTTTTTACAAAGAAATTTAATCAATCGATAAATTCAGAAAACTTCCATTTTGATGAAACTGCATTTTTCAAATGAAAAGACTCCATTGGAAAAATGTTGGTCATTTCTACGTAACACATAATTCACTAATTTAGACAAGCTCTTGGTATGCAACATTCTTCCCTCCCTCACCCCGTACTTTCTCAAAACTGTTTGTTAGCTGGGTTCTATTGAGTCCTACAAGGAATGTGAGGAAGGAATAGGAACGTATATCTGAGGCCTGGTCTACACTAAGGCTACGTCTACACTGGCCGCGAGTTCTTGCGCAAGTACACTGACGTTCTAATGTATGAAATCAGCACATCTTGCACAGGAACTCTGACGCTCCCACTCAGGAATAAGCTCTTTTGCGCAACCGTTCTTGTGCAAGAGACCAGTGTAGACAGGCAACATGAATTTCTTGTGCAAGAAAGCCCAATGGTTAAAGTGGCCATCAGAGCTTTCTTGCGCAAGAGAGCGTCTACACTGGCATGGATGCTCTTGTGCAAAAGCACATGCCAGTGTAGATGCTCTCTTGTGGAAGAGTTTTTCCACAAGAACTCTTCCACAAAAGAGTTCTTGCACAAGCTGCCAGTGTAGAAGTAGCCTAGGACCTTAGTCCAAAATGAGCCCCCAAGATAGAATCTGTAAGCCATGTGTTCACACTACCATGTCCATTATTCTGGAATAAGGCGCTGTGGAATTCTAATTCAGTAGTCCTGCTTTTCATGAGGAGTAACAATATTCCTGAACTTGTAATAACTCAGTAATCCTGCTTTTCATGAGGAGTAACAATATTCCTGAACTTGTAAGTCCGAAATAACGTTACTGTGGACACTCTGGTGCTGCTAATTTGAACTAATAGGCCTCTGGGAGGCCTCCCGCCATTCCCCAGAGTGCTTCTTGAGGCTCTGTGTTTGAGGCAGTGCATCTACATTAACAGAGTTTGCCTGAGACTACATTTGATTCTTCTCCGTAATGAGGACACACAATTTGAAATTTGTAAAGTCGGGTGCCCAGAAGTTAAACTTAGTAAATCTGAAATAATCTCTTAGGGTACATCTACACTAGCCCCCTAGTTTGAACTAGGGAGGCAAATGAAGGCAAAATTGCTAATGAAGTGCGGGATTTAAATATCCCACATTTGCTTAGCATATTCCCGTCCGGTCGCCATTTTGGAAACTGGCTAGCCCGAAGTAACTGCCCGCGTCTACACATGGCAGAGAAGCGCGATTCCGAGATAAACCCCTAGTTTGAATTAACAGTTAAACCTCATGGAATGAGGAATGGGGTTTAACTGTTAATTTGAACTAAGGGGTTTATCTTGGAATCGCGCTTCTCTGCCGTGTGTAGATGCAGGCAGTTACTTCAGGCTAGTCAGTTTCCAAAATGGCGACCGGCCAGGAATATGCCAATCAAGCACGGGATATTTAAATCCCACGCTTCATTAGCAATTTCGGTCGCCCTCATTAGCCTCCCTAGTTCAAACTAGGGGGCTAGTGTAGACGTACCCTCAGTGTTAGTTGTGGCCTGAGTTGTGGAGAAAGTGAGGGGAACAGTAGATAGGGATTGCCTGTAAACTAGAGATGAGAGAGGGGGTTTGCTGCTAAATCTGTCATGTGCTTCAACCAGGGCAATGTACAAAAAGGGGAAGATATCCCAGTTCTTGTAGTTCAATGTATGACCAAAGAGTACTCAGTAGCACAAAGCAGCTCCTGCTCCACATCATGCAGCAATTGAAAATGAGCAAGTAACTGTCACTCTAGTATTTTAGACTATGACTGATGTCTAATAAACCAGGACTCTTGGTCATTGCTGCCAGGAGAATTTACACTACTGAACTACAGTATACCATGGTCTGTTGTATACCATTAGCTATTTCTTTACTTACGAAAAGTTTGAATTGGGGCAATGGGCAATTGCAGCTCCTCGCAGATTAAAAAGTTTCAACTCTTCATCAGAGAGATGGCAGCCATGGGCCATCACAGTCTAGAGAGAAACAACATAACACAGAAATTACTTTTTTTGCCTGTTTTTATTATCCAAAATGTCATTTCCATTGCCAGAGGTGAAATGTGTAGTAGGGACATGACCCAAGACCTATTGAAGTCAGTGGAAAACTCCCATTAACTTCAGTGAATCAGCTTTGAATCGGGCTTTAAATGATTTAATCACTTCCCCTGGCTTCCTTGCTTTTCTTTAGAGGAAAAATAGTAGAGTTGACTCTTGGCTCTAGAGTTGTCACAAGGGACTGGGCAAGAATTCCCCATGTGCATGAAGAGTATAGGTATGCTTTAGTCAACTTCATGCTGCAACCCTAACAGGCCCAGAGATAGGGAATATGCTGTGATAAACAGAACAAGAGGCTATAATATTACAAAGATTCTGGGTTATTTTCTAGGAATGTCTTGTTTTCTGTAATCCCCTCTTACGTTTTGCACAAGTACGTCTTGTCTGAAAGGTTTTTAAATTTAAGTTTGGTTTAGAAATTAGTGGGGTTTTTTTTTTTGTTTTAACCTCCTAAAATGTGGATTTAAAAAACACAAGCTCTTAGCATACTATAGAGATTAAAATCCTTTATTTGTATTTTACGTTATTTAACAGGGACAGCTTGTTTTTTTTTAAAGTACTGGTTGTAATCTAGACTCTTTCAAAAGAGGCTTGCAGTCTAGACGTAGCCTAAGATTTTAAATGTCTGAAAATTTTAAATAATATCTGCACATTTCTCCCCCAAATTTACTAAACACCACTGTATTCATTGATAAAGCAGAAGTTGACCCTGAACCCTGAAAATATGGTTTTGAAAATACCACATGCCCAAGATGTGTGTGAAAAATTGGAGAATTAAATTGCCACTGGATCAAACACGCATGTATATAAACAAGTTTCCATGCAACTTATTAGGAATTTGTAAACTTATTTAAAAATATCTTGAAATTGCATGTCTCCTACTCAGCTAAAAAAATTCTGTGGGTGGGGCAGGAGCTAGTAATAATTATAAATGTGCAATCCATACAATTTGTATATGGATCATACACAAGTCTGTATGCCAAACTCAGGCAGCACAAAGGGATAGGAAAACTTCTGTAGCAGGGAAGGGGGAGATTCCTCTGAGGAAATTCTGCATCTGCTTCGGTCTCCTCTCCACCCCTCTTCTCTAAGGGGCCATTACAAACCATACTCTAAGGGAGCACAAATTGTCTTCACCTTTGTCGTCTCCTACTAGGTGCTGAGCAGATCTCTGGCATGCTTAAAGATTTAAAGCTTTTATTGCCTGTGATCAGCAGTCATCCTTATAGTAAATATTATTTACATGATCTTCTCTCAGATTTCACTGCCTATCCTTGGATGAATAGCAATGCAACTCATTTAAACCTCAGGGCAGTGAATAAAATTCACCAGTACATTTACCAATCTTGACAATCATAACATATACTATAGAGTGTTCTTGAATGCTACCTTGCTTGTAAGTAGCTTGTTTTTATCATATAAATCCGTATAATGTTTATAATTAGGAAACATTTGCGCCACAAGTTCGATTTCTCCATCATTCTCGCTTATATGACTCTGTAAAGATGGGAGAAAAAAAAGTCGTCAGTAATTGCTTTTTTATTTAGATTTTATATGGGTAGCACTCTGGGTGGCCTAATATTTAACTAGACTTACAACTGTGATGCTGGCAGACCAAGTGCCAGCTCTTGCCAAGGCTCCAAGCTCAGTGAACACTGACAAATACACATCTGGAAACCAGTTTGGTGTACCTGTATATTAGCATTGCTAAGATGAATATTAAAATTGTAAAGAATGTGTTTAGTGTCTAGGCCTTATGAATAGTGCAGGATGCTGCATGTATCAATTTCGCTCATAACCTCTGCAGCGCATTCTATAAAATTATATTGAGTGTTTGCATTGTAAACATCTATAACTGTAGCTTCAGGGGGTAGCCGAGTTAGTCTGTACAGGATAAACTTAAACAAAAAATGGTCTGGTAGCACTTTATAGAGTATCAAAACATGTTAGTCTATAAAGCTCACGATACCATCTACATGTTTTGTTAGTCTATAAAGTACTACCAGAACATTTGTTGTTTTTTAAGTTTATCTATAACTGTAACTCACTGAACAGGAAAGAAGTATTAATTGATGTAAAGTACTGGTCATACAGTCAAGAGGGCCTTTGAAACCAAATGAGCCATTGTAAGACATCACAATGGCAAAGAATTTGTTGATTGCTCTCCTCACTCACATGAAGAGGAATTGGGTTCTACAGTTTGGACTCTGGGAAAAAGGGGATGAAAACCCCTAACTGGTGTTCCCATAAGCTGAGTGCTTGGATGGCCACCCAAAAGAGATTCCAATGATTGTCAAAGTGCCCACGGCCAGCAGCATGTGTTTCTACTGGTGGTGCACATCTGCACATGACTAAGTTCACACAACAAAATTTATCCTGCACATGGATGGAAAAAATTAGAGGAAACTGCCCCTGACAAGGAGAAACTGGACCTTTATGCTACCTCGCATCTGAGGAGCAGATTCCTAAAAGTAATCAAGAGATCCCCATGCTGCTTAGTATGGGCCAGCTGTAAAGGGCATGCATTCTTCATATAGCTCATATTACCTTTTTAAAATCTAAGATTCTAACTCATTGGTGTGTGTTTTCTATTTAACCGTGTAAATCTCTCATTTCTTTGCTTAGTTCTTAAATTGTTAATTAGTTCATTACAGGATAGTCTACAAGCTTTGTTAATGGTGTGAGATCTAAGATGCAAAATTTACCTGGGGAAAAGTGACTAGCCCTTTGGCACTGGGAGTAACCTGAATATTTTGTGGTCTTAGTCATTTTTACACCAATCACAGAATCAAGCTTGCCTGGGTGGCAAGATAGATTGGAATGCCCACGGGTACTATCTTTGACCCCTTGCTATTCTATAGAGCTGGAATAATTTACACTAGCACCTGGGTTGGTGAAGTCTAAGTATAGAACATGCAACTGTTTGGGGTTTCTGTCCTTTTTGACAGTCTGTCCTGAGGTTGGCATTTATGGTCATAAGCCATTCCAGACAGTGTGACAACTTGATACTGGATACTTTGTGATGCTATACTAGCACAAAGCAGTTCTAAACCTGTTGGCCCTGTCCTCAGAAGCTTTCTTGCTATAGGAGAAATCTTCAGATGGCACAGCACTAGTGTAGCAACTCCTACATGCCTCTTTTCCTAAACCTGACATGACTGGGCCCAGGAAAAAGGAGTATAGCAGGGGTAACCCAGCACAGCAATCTCAGATATCACAATGGCCTGAAGGTCACTGGTACCTGACAAATATTAAAGTAGTACTTTGGACTTGTCAGATGAGGTACCAGACCAACCCTGAATAGACCCAGGTTCAGGGCAACACAAAGGACACCTTTGTCCCCACTTTCTCTGGTGTGGATGAAAATCTCATCAGTTTTGTGCTGTCTCTGGAATATGTTTCCAAATATCCATTCTTGTAATGTTAAATTACCCAAAAGCGGAGTAGTTTTAATGTGCTATGTAATTAAGACTATGTAACCAAAAAAAAAAAATTGTCTCCCAGCTTTAGCACAGCTGTAAGCTTTAAAAAGTACTTTAATTCTAAATTGCAGCAACTTAATGACACAGTAAGATGCACTTGTCTTTTTAACGATGTTAAAATAAGATACTCTGAATACAAAGGCTTATTCTTTTCTGTGCTGAGATCTGCATCGTGCAGAGATGAGGCCAATGGTTATAGTTCTCCAGGATGATCTCACCTAGGCCAGGACTGGAACAGGTAGAGAACAGAAACCTTAAAAAAAACAACTGGTTATGGTGCCCAAAGACTATGCATTAGCCGGCACAGACGAAGCACACAGTGGCCTAGCTATGATCCCTAGCCCATGCTGTGTGCTAGAAATTGTAGGGAGGGCATGAAAATTTCATTGCAATTTAATACAGGGTCAAAATTAAGTATGAGGATTAAGTAGTTTTGCTGAATTGGGCAGTATGATAGATATGGCAATTTCCTGCAATATCTTTGGGAGATCTTACTGAATTAAGTTTATATATTTTTGAAGTCCCTCGTGTTAAATGCAAAGATTATGTATGTATGTAAGGGACTCAGTGATCAGTGGACCACAGTGATGTGGCAGACAAGAATGAACTTCTTGGACAATATGCATGAAGTGGTTTTACTGGAAGATACCTAGGGGGAAGTTAATGCAAATCCCCATCGCTGCCTCAAATTATGCAAAATCCCTTCGCACAATAGGGACTTATGCTGGAGGAAAAATCAAAGCAGGCTTAGGTAAGCAGTCTGACTTGCTGGGGAATGCAGTTTAGGAAGGGATCAGCACATCCAGGTAAAACCCCAGTCAAAGAAGAGTGTGAGAGAGAGATAGGCGCATGTATACTCCGGAGACAGGTGACAGATGTGCTGTGATTCTAGAGCAGGTGCCCTTGCTGATGTGTGAGAGGGAATACAGGTGTGGTTTCTCTGAGCTATGACAGGTAATATCTGAAAAACAATGACGCTTTAGAAATAACTTCTCATGCAAATTTCCTAGCCTGTGGATTTTTTCCCAGTGAAAAAAGTTAGAGAGCGCTCACAAATCCTACCTGCACATGGATATCACGAGCCTTCGCTAAGTCACCAAGTCTTCTCAGCAACTCCTCAGTGCAGGAAGGTCCAAAACGAGGTGAAACTATAGGCTGTACCCTTTGATACTGAAATATTCAAATTGCACACTTGAGACTGAAAATAAAAATCTGTGTAACATCACCAAGAGTGCACTGACCCACAAGTTTACATGATGATGAAAAAGGATTGGGCTTGTTTTAGCAAGCTATAAAGATTTTTTTTCAAATACAACCGTCCCTGAAATCACTGAAATTTGAATTGGACAGCTATGCATTAGCCAGTGAGTTGTGAATTAGGTAATTTAACAGGCTTTTCCTAGCTCTAATTTCTAAAATCCAGATAGTGTACTAAGCTTATGTCTACACTCCAATAAAATGCGGTGGCATGGCCACTTGGGTTTGTGAGGATTGGGCTGTGTAAATAGTAGTGTAGATGTTTGGACTCAGGTCATGGGGTCTTAGAGCCCTGGTTCCAGACCCAACCTGAAGTCGACACTGTTATTTCTAGTCATGCAACTTGAGCAGCATGAGCCTGTGGTGGGGAGGGGGAGCTGGGCCCTGAAGCCCCCTGCTGGAGGCATTGTGGTCTTGCCATGCCATACCCTAGAAAAAGGGCAGTAGAAAGGTCCTCCAAACAGGCTAGAGTAGATGAAGGGTAGCAGCCAATCAAGGTCCAGGAAGGCCATATAAAAGGAGCTACAGAACAAAGCAGTAGTTTGCTGCTGTGTAGAGCTTAAGTAGTGAAGACAGGACGGACACCCAAAGAGTAGCAGTGCTGTGGACAGCTCTATGTGGAAAACTCATGGCAAACAAGACAGCCCTGAGGTACGAGCAAAGATGGCACATGGCTATGGGGAGGTGGCCCAAGGAGTTAGAGCAGCAATAGAATGAACACAATAGACAGCTGCTATCTACTGCTGCGATCCATAGGCTGGATATTCACAACCCCACCCCCCAGAAGCGACTGGGGCTTCGTCTACACTGCAGGCTTCTTGTGCAAGAACTTCTTGCACAAGTGTTCTTGCGCAAGAGCACGTCTACACTGCCATGTGTTTTTGTGCAAGAGTATCCATGGCAGTGTGGACACTGTTGTGCAAGAAAGTTCTGATGGCCATTTTAGCCATAGGGGTTTCTTGTGCAAGAAACCTCTGTTGCTCGTCCACACATGCCTTTTTACACAAGAGCTCTTGCGCAAAAAGGCTTATTCCTCATAGAAAGAGGAATAACTCTTGTGCAAAAAGCCCTGTGTTCTTACAATGTACTGTACTTTTTCTTGCACAAGAACGTGCTTGTAGTGTGGACGCTCTGTACGTTTTTGCGCAAAAACTCTGCAGTGTAGACACAGCCTGAGGGAAGTGGCTTGGATCTTGAGGCATACCAGAAAGGGAGAATTGGACTACAGTGACTCAAGAGGGCTCAAAGAGGGTGAAAATGTTGCCACCAGGAAGTGGGAACAAACTGAGACACATTAAAGTGGGCACCAAGAGAGTCCCTGTTGGACTGGTATCCTGGGAGGGGTTTTTATTTTTGCACGCAGACTGTATAAGATTTGGCCAAAGGATTGAGTCACCAAAGAGCCTCTATAAACGGAGAGAGTGTGTGGGTACATGCACTTGGTCATGAAGCACTCACAAGAGGGGAGTGCAATCTCGTTACAGAGCCCAAATCAGCTGACCCAGGCGCTTGGATTTGATGCTTACAGGTATTTTATTGCAGTGTAGAGATGAGTTAAGATATAGGTTAGAGTAGGGGTGGATTTCCTGCACCTTCCTCTTCTTCCAGGGTGTGTCTGGACTACATCTCTCTTTTGACAGAGGGATGTAAATTAGACACTTCAAAATTGAAATTGAATTTCCCGTGCTTCATTTGCATAATTGTGTCATGGCGCTCTTTCAAAAAAGCGTTATTTTGAAATTGAAACCGAGGTAAATTGAGGTTTACAGGATCTTTCAAAAAAGCCTTCTATTTTCAAAAGAACCGGGTCTAGACTGCGGTTTCAATTTCAAAACAGCACTCTTTCGAAAGAGCGCCATGATGATTGCATGCAATGCAAATGAAGTGCGGGAAATTCAAATCCCAGCTTCATTTGCAATTTCAAAGTGTCTAATTTACATCTGTCTGTCAAAAGAGGGATGTAGTCTAGACACACCTTCAGTGTCTCCACTCTGTGAAGGTGTTGTATGTAGGAGCCAGATAATAGCCAGGAAGTTTAGTTAAATGACCAGATATATAAAACAAGGAAAGCATTTGTGACCTACGAGCTACAGGAGATTAGAGTCGTCTTAAGCATCTCAAACTCCATGCTTTTAAAATATACTCAACAAACTACAACTGGCCATTAAATTTAGGCATTGCATTTTTGAGTCGAAGACTGTCAACAGAACAGAAAGAGTAGCATACCAGTCAGAGGGGACGCTGAGGCAAGTGCCAGGCAACTACTGCTTTCTCTGATGGCCTTCACATGCAACACTGCAGCCCATCACTGTTTTATTGTGCATGTGACACTACTAGAGAGTGACAGACATTTTGGCCTTCAGTCCCTTCACCTCCCAGCTGCAGTTGGAAAATTAGGTTACTTATTTTGGTAACTATATATGGATTTGGGTGCCAAACTTTAGACATCACATTTGAAAATCTTGGCACCAAGTGTCAAACAAATGAAATCACAGAGAAAGAAAGGTTAGCACGGAAGCTGTAAAATTATTTGACTATAGCAACAGTGCCATAAAATGTATCTGCAGAATATTTTTAGAATCTCTTTTACACACATAACCCAATGTGCTGATACCTTCCACAGTAGTTTTTTTTTTGTATTATTAACTGCAGTGTAAAGCTGTGGCCTTTATTTTAAAAGGCAACTATTTTTTTTAGTTAAAGATTTCTCTTTATAGCATGGTTTATAAACAGTGAAATTATTTATTAGCTTATTTCTTCCTAAGACCAAAGAATTATTCTTCGTAGGTAGCTGAGCAGCTTTTAAGAAAATAAGGGTTATTTTCCAAAGTATAATATTCTGCAGTGCTCTGACCAAACAACCAACACTGACATTTGCCAGCCCAAAGCCACAGCTTCCAAACAAGTTTGTGCAGACTCAGGCTTAAATTGGCCATTAAAGGCACTGTCTTGTATTTATTTAAATCTAGTAAAAGACCTATCCTTATTGATTTATCAGCAGCATTAACAATTGTATTCATTCAAACTGAATTGTTTTTTTCCAAATTTTTATTTTATTTCCATAGAAAAAATGAAATGCAGAAGTGAATATAAACAAAGGAGAAGTGAATTTTTGCCATTTCATACAGCAATCAGGGGGGAAAGTATATGACAACACAGAATATGGGTTATGTTGCTGATACAAAAGCAACTTTACTTACTTTCTTTTCTAGTAGTTCTCTAACAAACCTGAAGGGTAAAAAATTATTTGTGTTATAAATTAAGAAATTTAGGGAAAATATTTACTTCAGTGTATTATTGTGTTGTACATGAATCCGTTTTATGTAGAAAGTTGGAAGCTGTAAGGACCAATTTCTCAACTAGTAGAAATTAGCAGAGATCCATTGAAATAAGAAACTACACCAATTTTCACCAGCAGAAAATCCGGCCCTAAACATGCAGAAGTTTTATCATTTGTAGTAATTAATCCCAGACATGTGGTAATTACTCTGTGCTCTCACTGGAAACCAAATATATGTTATATTAAATCAACTGAAAGCATAATTATATGCTATAGCAGCAGTATTAAAAAGACACTTTAATTTCGGCTGTACGTGAATTTAAATCAGAGCACTGAATCTATTCTATTATTTAAAATCCTATTTTTAGCACATTGCGGTATTTTATGTTTCATTTACAGTAGCTGAACATATTGAGGTTTAAAGTGATAGACACCCCATCTTTCATTCACTTAAAATGCCAGGAGCCGTATCCTTTGATTTCCTTTTTTTCTTTTTTTAACAGGAAGCATTTATGGAGGTTTTCAGAGTACTCAATATTTACACAATTGAAAAAAATAAACAAACTTGAACTTGCTTGTTACATTCTACTCTTTTGTTTTGAATGGAAGTGACTATAAATATTTAAAAAAAAATCAGGGTCAGGACATTAGAGGTGAGTTAAAGCTGGCCTCCTTGCCCCCACATTTTGGAGGGCTGGTGCTGCAGGAAGACAGGATTTTAACATTCCTGTACGTGAGAGTCCTGGAGGCCCACCAGTGGCTGGGTGGGTAG